AAAAAACCCATTCAAGTGCACTGTTATTTATGGTAAAAGTTTAAAAACAAAACAAAACTAGAAACAATGTCCCACAGTGGAACCACAAACTATAATGCATTCCAACAATGGTTTGTAGCCATTTGAAATGAGGTTTATGAAAATTATGTAGCACAATGGAAGGTTTACGATAGAAGGGAACGTGTTCAAAATCAATATACTGGCTTTCATATTGAGTTGTGATTAAAATGATCTGTAGTAACTCATGCACAGAAAAAAAATTAAGAAAAAATTACCAATTGCAGCAAAACTGTTAGAATATGTGTGTCGAGGTGGTAGCCAGCACACATCTGCGATCTGTTTTTCTTTGTTTTTAACTTGGAAAATTGGCAGGCATGACTTTCGTAATATATTTTTTATTATGTTTTAGGATTCCCTAGAAATAAAACTACAGTCTTCAGAAATGCAATTCTCCAAAGGATCTTTGCAAAACTTAACCAAAAAACAAACCAACCCTACTGCTGCTGCATCAACTGTAGTATCATGCTTGGTAAAGTGGAGGGTCAGCAAAAAAGAGGAAGTTCCCCCCTCCCCTCAATGACATGGATTGGCACAGTGGCAGCAGCAACACATTCAGGTGTAACAGCTACTGTGAACGCAGGCCTAGCTAGTGTTTTGTTCTGTTGGGCACAGGGTTGCTATGGGTCAGAACTGAATGTGCGCTGTGGGTTAATGCATCAAACTGCAAAGCCATTTGGACTGCAAGGTTGGTGGTTCAAGCTCACCAACTGCTCCTTGTAAACCCTGTACAGGGTCGCTATGGGTCAGAACCGACTTGATGGCACTTAACAACAACAGTCCTTAAGGAATCAGATTGTCGCATATTTCTCCATTCAGGCGGTTTTCACCTACTAGCCCTTTGGTTGGTAGTTGAATGCTTAACAATTGTACTACCAGGGCTCCTGTCAGAGCAGGTTTGACACCTAGGCATACAGATGGCTATATTTAATAGATTCTGATCATTTGGGGAAAACAGGACTTATGGCTTCTTGTTGTTGTTAAGTACCGTCAAGTCAGCTCCAACTCATAGCAACCCTGAATAGGGTTTCCAAGGAGCAGCTGTTAAGTTTGAACCACCAATCGTGCAGTTCAAACTGACCTTGAGGTCTACTAATTGTTAGTTGTGTGGGGGGAAAAAATACCTTTTGGTCACTCGGTTCTTCATTCGGAGCTTCAGAAAGCCAATCAGTAAGGCACATATGAAGCACAGCTCAGATTGAAGGGTCTGGGAACAAGAAAACCTGAGCGCTCCTGACACGTGGGTGACAGGAAGCTGGGACTGGTCTTTGCAGAAGGGCACTTTCCTTGATACATGAAAAACCAGATTGGCAGTTTGAACTTTAAGTAATAAAATATCACTGTTGTTTTCTATTCACCGTACACTCCACTGCACAGTTAATTTAGAATCACACAATTATGTTTGCTTAATGCCAATTAATTATTAAGCATGTTTATTGAGGCCTGGCAGCTATATAAGAGAGTCATCTTTTATATACTGAATGCCAGTTAAGCTTCAATAAATATGTGAACAATCATTTGGTGTTTAATGTGCATACAGTATCGGCTGTAAAAATCTCAGGACCAGACTAGTTAAGCACTTATTTTAAAAAGCGAGGCCCAAGTTGGCAATAGCTGGATCATTAATTGGGTCTGAACCTCAAGTACCATCAGTTGAAAAGGACCACAGAGGTCAGCACAGCAGGGAGGCAGCCCCCAAAGAGAGTTTGCTTGCCTTTCCAGCTGGTAGCCCATGGGTCCTAGAGCCACCTGCTGTCTTAGCTCTCTAGAGCGCCTATGACAGAAATAACACAAGTGAAAGGCTCTAACTAACACAAATGCATTCTTTCACAGTTTTGCTGTTGTTGTTGTTAAGTGCCATTGAGTCAGTTCTGACTCTTAGCAACCCTGTCTAGGGTTTCCAAGGAATGGGTGCTGAGTTTGAACCACCGACCTTGCAGTTCAGACTGACATTATGGTCCAGTGCATCATCCCACAGTGCCACACCAGGACTCCAGGAAGGCTAGAAATTTGAATTCAGTGTCCCAGCTTTGAAGAAAGGTCCTTATTGTCTCTGACCGTCTGTAGGTCCAGTAATCCTCAGAGTTCTCCATGTGTCTTGGCATCGATCTTCTCCTGGATCTAGGAGCGTCACAGTGCAGGACCCCAGGCATACAGAGCCCACTCCACTCCTGGCTTTTCAAGACAGCATCTGACCACATTAACGTCAGTGAAGTGAAGATTTACAACACAGAGTATTGGATCAGATAAGGGCTGATTACATCAGACCACATCACAGTGTGATTGTATCATGTGAGATCTCATCATGGTGGTGATAACTACATCGTAACTGCTCAACCACTGAATCTGCTCATGCTGACCTGACAAAAACCTAATCATTGTTTCACTCCATCTCATCAGATATTTCCCTCATTTTCGCAGACCCTCTGCTTTACCAACTGTCATGTTCTTCCCCATCAATTGGTCTTTTCTGAGGACAAAGCCCAAGTAACTGATTCCTAGAAGTCTCGGACAATATTGTGTAATCCACAAGGGTTTTCACTGGTGAATTCTCAGGGAGTCTTGGCATGGCGTTGTGGGTTAATGCGCTGGACTGCAAAGTCAGTTGGAACCGTGACGTCGGCGGTTCAAGCTCACCAGCCACTTGAAAACTCTATGCAGCGTCGCTATGGGTGTGAACCAACTCGACAGCACTTAACAACAACAACAATTTTCAGAACTAAATCTTCAGGCCTTTCTTCCTAGTCTTAGTCTGGTAGCTCTGCTAAAACCTGTCTTCCATGAGGGAGGGACCCTTGTTGGTATTTGAAATACAAGGTGGCTTCAAAAAGTACATGGAGACTTCCGGAAAAAGATGGCAGATTGGGTGGAAGTGTAGTGATGAGCTCTGCCGAGAACAACACAGAATACAGGACCAAGAAGGCTCAGGGAATGGTCCCAGTACTCTGAACCACATATAAAGGAATATTTAGAAGGTTGGAAGACTTACAGCGGGAGAGTTTGTGGCAGAAGCAAGAA